GAACAGGCCAATTGTAGATTTCTATTTAGAAAAAAAAAATTTCCATCTGGTTACCTAGCCAGACCCCAGTGGTGCCCTTCAAAACAAGAAGAAGTATTTGAAAGACCAGCTGTTTTGGACCATGATCGCCCGACATACTGTCCTTGTCTTCGTGTCAGACAGCTGTCGGACTTTTTGTAATCTGTCGATCCCACGTGCATTTCGTTTTTTTTTTTCCCTTTGTGCCATTGTAATTTTAATTTCATTTTCATTTCGCTCGATCTGAGCTTCTGTTGATTTCTTTGTCGGACTAGCTCAGTAGAATGGTTACATCTCAGGGAGCATGACAAAAGGGGCAAGCCAGAAAGGAGCATCACAAATTATGGGGCATAAAAAATCGTGAATTGTCTCAAAGGGAAGGCATCGAGAAACATGGATGTTGGTAGTAGGACTTTTAAACGGGGGTGTTTATCAACGAGGCTTGCACGTGCATGACACGGGGTTGTAGACATCCCAAACGAGACTGCTTGATTTGTAGAGTTCTTGCCGTGTTTCTTTCACTTGTTTCCCTCAGGGCCAGATTTAGGCTTGGTGAAGCCCTCAGTTATAAAAACCCATGAAGCCCCTACCATTTTAAGCCAGCAATTAACCCTTTTACATTTTTTTTAAGGATAAGACGATGAAGAAACACAACGAGAAAAAGAAGGACGAGGAGGAGAAGTTGTGAATGGTGATATGACGACAACGACAAAGAAAAGGGAGAAAAAAAAAGAAGGATAATGATAATGAGAAGAAGAAAAAGAAGTAGCAGTAGTATCAGTAGTAGTAGAAGTAGCAGTAGTAGTAGTAGTATCATTAGTAGTATTAATATCAGTAGTAGTAGTATCAATAGCATCAGTAGTAGTATCAGTAGTAGTGTCAGTAGTAGAAGCGGTATTAGAGGTAGTATTAGAAGTAGCAGTATCAGTAGTAGTAGTAGTAGTAGTAGTAGTAGTAGTAGTAGTAGTAGTATCAGTAGTAGTAGTAGTATCAGTAGTAGTAGTAGTATCAGTAGTAGTAGTAGTAGTAGTATCAGTAGCATTAATAGTAGTAGTAGTAGTATCAGTAGCATCAATAGTAGTAGTAGTAGTAGTAGTATCAGTAGCATCAATAGTAGTAGTAGTAGTAGTAGTAGTAGTAGTAGTATCAGTAGCATTAATAGTAGTAGTAGTAGTATCAGTAGCATCAATAGTAGTATCAGTAGCATCAATAGTAGTAGTAGTAATATCAGTAGTAGTAGAAGTAGTAATAGCAGTATCAGCAGTATTAGATGTATCAGTAGTAGTAGTAGTAGTAGTAGTAGAAGAAGAAATAGTAGTAGTTTCAGTAGTAGTAGAAGTAGTAATATTAGTAGTAGTAGTTGTTGTAGGGGAAAGAGCAGCAGTAGTAGTAGAAGTAGCCGCAGTAGTAGAAGCAGCAGCAGCTGCAGTAGTAGAAACAGCAGTAGTAGTGGTGGTACTAGTAGTAGTAGTAGTAATAGGAGTAGTAGTGGTAGGAACGGAAGAATGCGAATTTTGAAGGATCATTGTAATCGTCATCGCCTTCTTTTTCTATTTCTTGGCTTTCAGGAGCTACAAACTCTGGCGGAAATTTTGCTTGTTCGTCTGAATCTAGATTCTGGCGGCAGTGGATCTATCCCCCCTCCCTCCCTTTTTTTCACAAAATGGAGGCCTGGGGCCTTCATGAGGAAGTGATGGTGATATTTATAAGAAGAAGATCTGGAATTGGATCTTCTTCTTCGCGTTCACCAGCTGTAAACTCCTACGGAAAGTTCTGGTTGTTCGTCCACTTCTGGACTGCAGTCCTGTTCCAGAACCTGAGTGATGCATGTGCATCTGTTTTTTCCCCGTTCAGATCTGACTAATTTGTATGCAGACTGCTGGTTCCTTGCATCTCCGGCAGATGCACTCCAACTTTGAAGGAAGCCCTCGATTAGTCGACTTTTACGGCATGCTTGTGAGTAGACATTGAGTCTATTCTTGTTTTCCCTATGATAGGGCCCGAAACCTACATGGGAATGGATGTGGATAAAAAGCAGAAGGATAAGGATGATATGGTGTGGGTCACGGTGTTTCTGCAGAACACACGAAGGCATCATCATCATCTTGAAGCAGGCCCTTTGCAGAACGTCGCTCTTAGAGAAAAATGTTGAAGGAACTACTGCGATAAGAGGTCCGTTAAATTTTCAGGTATTGTGGTTTTCCGTTGTCACTTCTGAACAATGAACATCATCATGTAGCAGGTCCTTTGCAGAACGTCGCTCTCATCACTGTCTGTCTGAAAGAAACTCGGTCTCTCGCCAGCTCTTCCTATCCAAGGAGTCATTTTTATTCTGTGCACTTTTTCGTGATGGTCGACTCCCCCCCCCCCCCTTTTTGGGTTTGGGGGGGGGGGGGCGTACCACACCTGCCGTTATTATTTTTCTAACTGGCACTTTATATTGCCCAAATATTTTTGTTTATTAGAAAAAAGGCCTTAATGTTCAGATCTTTTAGAATGTCAGTATTTCTTCTCTTCTTTGTCCATGATATTCTGAGCATCTTTATATAGCATTTCAGCTCAAAAGCTCTTATTTTCTCCTTGAATGAATGGGAGATGGTTCACGAATCACGTCTGTATGTTGTTACACCGATGACGCATGCCCTCGGTGCTTTATTTTGATTTCCTTGCTGGTGCTTAACTTAGATTTTTTATTCTGTTTAATCTTTGTAAAGCTGTGGCCATCCACCTTCTGACTTCTGTCAAACATTCTGTATTGATACTTATTGAATGTTGAATTAGGAATCGACATCACATCACACGGTACACCCCCATAAGCCCCCCATCATCTTCAGCAACAAGCGAAGAGCTAAAATTCCGATGGCACCAGTAACTGTCTGATTGTATATCCGTCTCGCCTTTCCCCTGAGTGTCGAGCGTCGGCCAGATCCCCTTGTAACTCTTCGCAGTGCCATTCTCCCCAGACCGTAATGATCTGTCTGTTCATCGGTACTGTCCACTCCATCCTAAAAGGCTCCCACAACATCCAATTTGTCATACATCAGTTGAACCAACAAATGGTGTAGAACCAACCAGTCTATCTGTCTGCTTATTTCCCAATACGCCGGCATAACCTAGAGAAAACATCCAAAGGATGCTAACTACCCGGGACCTTTGAAGTTGCTATTTATCATGGAGCCCAAGTGTTCAAAGTCTATGAAACTTTCAATTCCTTCATCATCTATTGCTATTTTTGGGTGCCAGCCAGTTTTGTCTGCGAACCTAATTTTTTATGAGGGTATAAAGTTTATTGTCGGCTCTTTGGCTAAGTCGATGCGAACGCTTCGTAATGCCGGGGTGCCGGGTTCGATCCCAGCTGCGGGCCATGCGCCTTGCGTTGGTTTTGACAGTGGTATCAGGGGGCCGACCGTCTAGGGGCAATAGGAAACTACTGGACGTAAATTTGTCTAGAGAAATCACACAAAAGCCAGGGGATGCTTGGGTTGGTTCTACAACGCCCTGTAAAGGATACGCAACTAACATACTTACTTACTTAGTCGCTCCTCTTCTACCTTGGGGTGTAGAGGTTTGCCAGAGAGATCGCCAGACGTCTCTATCAGCAGTTTTCTTTCTGGCTTTGTTCCATTCCAGTCCTCTGTCAGTCAGGGACTGTCGGATGTTGTCTTCCCAGCGCACCCTGGGTCGTCCCGGAGGTCTGGTTCCCTGGTTCTTAGCCTCCCATGCTTGCCATGGTGGCCGATTTTCTCCCATTCTGCACACATGTCCAAACCATCGTAACTGTGACTGATCCACTCGGGTTAGTAAGGGCTGGGTATCAAGATCTTGACGTATTGTCTGATTGCGGACTTTGTCCCTTCTTGTCACTTGGACCACCTTTCTCAGGTATCTCATTTCCGAGGCCTGCAGCTGGCTTCTGTGAGCTGTTGTCATTGCCCATGACTCACACCCATAGGTCAGGACTGGTACATAGGTAGAGCGGTAAACAGCCATTTTCGTCCTCTTGCCAGCAACTAACATAACATAAAGTTAATTGGGCCAGGTGTGTGACCGCCAGGCCATGACAGCGACAGGTTGGGACAGACGCGGTAAATAAACTTCTTGTGATGATGTTACGTCACCACCGTTTGTGGACATATCCAACGAGCGCTAGACGGTCTAACTCCTGGGTCGCCGTGTTACCAGGTTCCCCCATTCAAACAATAGTCGGGGGACACAATGCGAGAGTCCGACAACTTGCTTCGGGCCCGTACAGCCTCCACGTTTGTAAGGTTGACGTCACAGTGGCGGCGCCAGTCTGTCTGGCGTACAGACGGGACAGGTCACCCCCGGCATAAATTTATATCACGTGTCACTGGCAGGATTGTTGACTACACAAAAGACCACACAGGTGTGAGGTGCCCGTTCCTCTACCGTGAATAGCGCCCGACCGAGAAAGGACCTCAAATAAAGGCCTCTAAACAGGTGTACAGGTATTTCTCGAATGTATTAAAAAAATGTTTGCGAAGACTGGGGACTTGATGCTGTTTGAGAAAGAATGGAAGACCGTGGGAAAGTGGGTTAGCTTGAGGAAAAGGGACTGGAGATAGAGGCGGGGCTAGCGGCCTAACGAAGCACTGGGATTCTCAGCCCTCACAGTTGGCCCGGCGTGGGGCGGAGCCTGTGTGCTTAGCACGTGACGCGTGCGAAAATTTCTTGGCGTAGATATAATGTCAGACTTCGTCGACGACTCACATTCTAGTTGACTGTTGAGCTCGTCGCCACTGCATCTTTCCTGGTTGTATGTTTATTAGTGCTCACAGTTGTTGACCCGACACTGTTTTGTGGATTGTAACAAGTTTCATAAATTTGCCGGAGTGTTTAATACATCTGATCCATTTGCTGTATCCTGACAAACCCGCTGGCTTCAGTTCAGCCACTGTCCATTCTCGCCTGGTTACTCACTGAAATCCGTAGTTCGCCACAGTTCAGTGTTTTTCATCAGCATGAAGGTAGCTGCTCCTAAACGTCAAAGAGCTAGTACAGTTTTAGCGGTGAGAACGAAATCCAGTTGTCAAATCATGAAAACCAGAATAGATTTTCGTGGAGAGAAATTACCTGTCAGCGAAGAAATGAAGGTAAGTGAATTAATAGGTTTACCAATAGTAATACCATATGTGTACGGTACCAATAGTTGTAGTAGTAGTAGTAGTAGTAGTAGTA